ACTAGCTGGTGAGATTATACATAGGCGATACATGTTCTGAAAGATTGATGTTTAGCTTCAGAAAATGTTTTCAAATCAATTTTTATTAAAAATATTATCAGGGCAAAACAATTTGCCCTGCCCTGCCCTGTGCCCTGCTCCAGTCGCCCTGAGGGCGGACAGGACAGGGCAAGAAAAAAAAATTGCCCTGTAGGGCAAGGCAGGACAGGGCAGGGCTGCCCTGATGCCCTGACCTGATGACGGTCTCTGGTACACAGCTGATTAAAGATGATTGAACGCAAGAGTTATTGGAATTCAACAGATTAAACATCGGATTGTACACTAGAATTAGATATGACTCTACTGTAGTTTGCTGTTTTAGTTAGTTAATTATCTGAGAATCTATCATTTTCTAATACTAAACTTCGTGATAACTAAAAAAAATTGTCTTTATTATATAGTTCAAATACTGATCAGTTGATTTTTTCAATGAATCTCAAGAGTTTTTTCAAAAAATATTGAGTCCTACTTCAAAGAAATATCATACAAGATAGAAGTGAATTATAATTTTGTTTTATTTGTAATATGTAGGGCTAATCATTTGTATTTTAAACTAAAAATTTTATTTTTGGTGAAAGTTTCAATAGAAAAATGTTATTTTAAAAAAACTTCTATAGATTATTCCTCTGACGAAAATTCTTACGATTCATCTAGTGACATATCTTCTTATCATTTCTAAACTACAGATAAGTACCCAAACATTGCTAAATTTCACCTAACAGATAATAGAATGAGACGATATACCATGAGATGTTAACACATACTGAAAGCTAGTTTTTTCTTCATGATTATTTCTCGTTTGACAACAGTTTTAGCTATGAAATCGACATACTTACAACGAACATTATTTATGCAATAAATATTTTCCAAACAAATCAAAAGAATGTTTTTTTTTTAAACAAAAACTGCTTATGTTGATTCAAGATTCTATTATGTTAATGAAATATATCTAAACATATATTTACGTTTAATACCAGATAGAAATCTCCTTTTTGGTAAAAATCTCTCGATCAAGTTTAAAGTAAAAAAAAACTCATAATCGAACGTAGATGTGTGAAATATGTCCATTTATTTCCGACACAAAAAAGAATCGAGACGATGACAAAAAGAAAAGCAAACAAAAAAAATGTAAAGATCATCAGAAGGACAAAAATGATTTGTACATAAATAATCACACAAATATTTAATTTAATCGAATTCAAGTGGATTAAATCCTCCCGGAGCAGCAGATGATGATGATGATGATCCATTATTATCTCCATTATTTCGACGATTATTATTTGCTGATGATGATGATGATGTTTGTTGTTGATTTGGTTGAAGATTAACATATTCACGATTTGTTGTATTATCACCATCTAATGTTACACGGCATGTTGGACATGTTCCATGCTAAAAACAAATTCAAATTCATTGTTTTATTTATATAAAATTTAAAAAAAAACAAATATTAATAAATACAAGTCTAAGCCATCGTGATATACAGTCTTCATGAAAATGATGTGTACAAGGAAGACGTTTAGCTTCATCATTTTCTTTAAAATCATCCATGCAAATAGCACACTGTAAATTATCATCTAAAATACAATTTTATTTTATTTTATTTTAATATAAAATAGAGATGAACAAGTCATTTGAAAAATATCTTGTAAATCTTCTCAATTAAATCATATGATTCGAATTTAAATAAAATTATGTTCAGACAACAAATCAGCGAATGCAATTGAATTTCTTTTTTTTTTGTTGAATTATACTGTGCCATCCTTTCATGTAACCAGTGATTCGAGTTTCAAGTCATATGACACTTCTCAATACAGAATAGTTTCGATTGCATATACTACTCTGTAGATTTAACATTATTTTATTAATATTTGAATCATATTCTATTGATGAAAACAATTATACAAAGTTTTCCAAAATGACTTGTTCATATCTGATATAAAATTCAATAAGTAAACGTACTAGCTTGTGCAGTAGTTACTTTTACTGTCGGAATAGCATTTATACGGTTTTCAGGCGCTGGTGCAGGACCACTATTTTCTCCCATTTGATTTAAAAACTAGAATAATAAAACAGAGAAAATAATTAATATGTAAAAATAAAAATTACTTGAGTAAGAAAAGCATCGAGATTTGTTGGATCAAGAAAAGCTGCACCACCACCATTGTGCATCACACTAAACAAAGTATTTATTTATTTATTTTAAATAAATAAAAATAAAATAATTACAAAGGAAACTGTGCACCACCACCACCACCAGTGAGTCCACCGGCAAGTTGTGTTAAAATAGTTTGAAGAAAATTTCCTAAATCTCCATTTCCATTTGGATTATTTCCATCATTTGTTGTCGGTGCACCACCAATAACAATTGTTGTATTACCAAATGGTGCTCCACTATGAATTTGAAAAGTTCCACCTGTGCGTCTTTGACTACGAGATTGACTAAAGTTTAATCTGATTTTTTTTATTTATTTAGACTAAATGATAAACATACGATGTTGGCTCTTGTGCTGGAACTTCTTCGATAAAATTATCGTGACAACGTGGACATTCGAAATCCTAAACAAAACTCTTTTTTAATTCTCAATAAGATTCATTCACAACTAATATGTAAATAATGTAACGCATATAAAAGTTATAAAACGAAAACATTAATTGATCATGATAGAACATGAAAATTTACGAAATTCAGTTAAGAGAATTTTTTGACTCTATGAAATTCATAAAACAAATATTTATCGTTTAATGGTGAGTTTAGTAATTATTAATAAAAACATAAGCAATTTCTTTAATATTCGAATTGATAAAAAAATATTATAGTATTAGATTTGTTTATGCCATGATGTTTTCCTTAGAAGAGATAGTTTCATTTTGATATGTCTATAAAATTATATTTTAGGAAAGTTTTCTGCCATTTTATACTTTCAGTATATTTGGATTATTTATATTGGGATTTTTAATTTTATTTAACGAAAGAGAAATATTCTATCAATTTGAACATTGACTATTTTATAGAAATGATCATTGTTGAAATTTATTCATATACTAATGAATATTAAAATGTTGTTCATTTAGTTTATCTTTGGTTGATTACATTCAATTCAGAAAATTTCTAATTAAACATAGAGAATAATTAAGTTTAACAGATTTAACTTAATTATTTTAAATTTTAATAATTATTAATAATAGTTTTTAAGTGAAAAATCTTACCGTAACATATCCAATATGTGCTTGACATTTATGGCAATAATAATTAGGCCTTGCAGTGGCCATTTCTATGTGATAAATTCTATTTACTTTCTTCTCAACACCGGATCAAGATAAAAATCTAGAATAATATCAAAATTAAAGTTCGATTTTTGTTCTAAAATAAATAAATTTCATGCGATTCAATATAATATATAGAATTATGAAAAAAAGAATATGCGACAATGTCAATCGTGTCTCGGCAAAATGAAATAATATAGAAATTATCCATTGAGATAGGGACAATATTCGTCGATATAGTATAAAGAAAAACAAGGAGAGACTTAGTGAAACTCGTAATGGTGGTAAAACAATACATCAATGGTCTATTAATTAACCAATCGGCTAACAATTTTTTTCTGACTATGACTAACACAATCTGAACTTTATGAACAAAAAACTTCTATTGTAATAATTATTTTGTTAAATTATTTGATAAACATGGTCGATAAAAATGCACAAATTCAAGCGACATTAAATGCAAAATTAATTGAAAGTGGTGAAAAAGAACAGTATGAAAATATTTTCTAAATATAATCATTGGCATTTTTTTTTGAATATAAATAAAATAGAATGAAACAACTTTTAAGACAACGTTTGATTGAATATGAATGGAGAGATGAAATGAAAGCTTATTGTAAAGGTAGGATTTAAGAATATTATTTTATTATAATTGAGTTTTTCTTTTTTTTTTTTTCATAGAAATTATTAAACAAAAAGGTCTTGAAAATTTAACTGTTGATGAACTTGTACAAGAAATAACACCGAAAGGCCGTGGTAAAAAATAAATCTTATAAATTTTTGAAAACAACAAATTTCTTAAATTTAGCTCTTGTACCAGATGCAATCAAAAAAGAAATGTTAACTCATCTTCGTCAATATTTATCTAAACACGAAGATCTTTGAACAGTTATATTTTTGTATATTTTCTTGAAAAAAAAAAAAATAAAAGATTAGACAATTAATAAAAAAAAAAAAACAAAGATTCTTCTTAGAAGATAATTTAATTAATTCAAATGATTAAATACTATTTTGAATTGAATGAGAATCATTATTTTATTTATCGTATAAACGAAATTAAATTAATAACATTGAATATTTCTGTTAGACATACAATAGTGTGATTCGTAAACCCTTGAAAAATATCTGATGATTATTAATCGTTCAATAACAATAAATTCTTTTTATATAAATGCAAGAAAAAGGTCATTATTTGACATTAATGGAAACAATCTTTTCTAACTCTAATTCCATTTCCAATAAGAAAAAACAAAAAAGAAATATGATTTTGATGAAAAAGAGATTGTGTTCTTAAACTAAGCTTAACAAACATTTTATTATCATAGAACTTTATTGAATTCTCTTCGAATGTCAATAAGTTTGGAAACTCTTACTGGTATAGTGTACCATATTCAACTGTTATATTCTACTTGTTAGATGTCCAACAAGACATGGATAATATCAGTTATTATATTGTTGGGTTTCATCCCAATTTCTATTTACTATTATAAATTTTTGATGAGTTTATCGTGAAAATATAAAACTAGTTCATAAACGTTTTCGATAAATAAAATAATTGAATTTCTATTACCTACGATATCATTTCTTGATTATAATCAAAACGTTTCACATAATTGAATAAATCCATTTGTCTTGTTCGCTTTTTAAATCACTTTTAAATATAAAAAGAATTCTGGAAAAAGAAATATTTCATTGACAATTGATAATTTCTTTTTAAATTTCAATAACATAACCAAATAATATTATCTATCAGATTCTAATAATAAATGATTTCATTTCATATATTTAATCATCAAGTGTTCACTGAAGAATTTTCAAATGTTATTGAACAATTAATATTATTATTTTTATATGTTTTATCTCTACCAATTAGATGAGTAAGAACTATGAAAGACATTATTTTTAGAACATTCTATGTCATACATACTTATTAATATAACAAAGTTAATCGTATTAAAAGAATAAAATAAAATAAAAACAAAGGAAATGTATAAGACAAATTGTTTTTCCTGTTCAATCAACAATCAGAGCGTCTGCATATTTCACATCAGCATGAAACTGATCACATCTATTCACATTTATGTTTTTAAATAAAATCCTAAATCGTTCGTTCTTCTTTAACATGCTTGAGTCTGTGTTTCTTGAAAGGCATTTCATAATAATTGGAAATAAACTGTCAATGATACTTTTTATATTTAATTCTTAATTGATATGTTTCTAATGTTAGTATTGGCTACTGAAATCCTATATCAACCAATTTAACCACTATCCAACCTCCTTTTCATATCATTCAATAGCACTTTAATTGTATAAGAAATTGAAGAAAAAATACTGCTCATACAAAGGAATATCAAGGACATTCTTCTCAAGATAAGATTTGTAGTCTTTTTTACAAGTATTCAGTGGATTTTGATGGAAAAAATACGATTTAGTTGAATACTAATATGACATTCTGAGTCAACATCCTAAACTAAGTAGACTTACGTGTATTTCTAAATATTTTTTGCAAATCTTATTTTTGTCGAAAAATTCACTGATGTTAGCCCTCAGATGTAAATTTAAAAAATTAGTTTCATCGAAAAACCATTTTGATGGTCGGAATCAAGTTCTAAGGTTATAAAACGATAATAGAACTTCAAATAGCAGATGAATAAACAATAAAAAGAGAGTTTTTATGAAATTCATGTTTTGACCAAACTCTGAGGGATACCAAGGCTGAATTTTTCTACCACAAACAAAATTTGTAAAAATATTTTATATTTACATAGATCTACTTAATTTGGGATGCTGATTCAAAATGCTATTTTAATTTTTATTCAAAGTCGAATGTTTTTAATCAAAATCTACTGAATGTCCGATAAAAAATAGATAAAGTCATGTCGTCATCAGAATAGTTTCCTTGATATTTCTCTGTAGCTAGCGTTTTTTCCTCTATGCTTTTATATCATTTTCAAGCACACCCACAACAAATTCTATTAGAGTTCACTTCTAGACAACTAGTGTAATAGTTTGAAATTGAAGAAATCAAATTTCTCGAGGGACCAATTTCCACAGTTATTCATTCAAACTTTTTGTATGTTTATCCACATGTGAATTCCTACGACGATTTTTATTCTCTGATGCTCATTTATTTGATTATTTTAAATCAATTATAATAAACTTTATTGAAACACTAATATAATGAAAGTAAATATATGATTAAAAAAAAAAAAGGTCACATGTGACAATTATGTTTGATTAACAATGAATTTTGACTAAATAAAATCTTGTTTAATTTTTTTCTAAATGTTTTCATTTTGCCAATATATATAATATATAAAAGTGTATCAAATAAAAGATAAAGTCATTTTTCGAAAGCTTGACAATATTTAACCTTTAGGTGCTTTGGTTTTTGGTGCACATAATTTTTGTATTTGTACTTTAAGTTTTTCAGCATCTGGTGAACTTAATTTTCCAACTTGACCGTCATCTAAAAGATTTGGTTCTGTAAATTTAATACCTTTCTTTTGAACACCAGTAATAAAACAATTAGCTTCACTAAGTGTTTTCCATGAACGTGCTGTCATACATAAATTATTACATAAAGTTCCTCCTTTTTGATCTTGTAAATTAAAACGAATACCATGTCCAATAACCAATGGCATTTCTGATGTTAATACAAAATCATTTGGAGTTTTTAATTGTTTGAATGAATCAGTAACATGAACTTTTACTTTGCATTCTTTAGCTACAGCACCAATTGCTTTTAAATGTGGTACGAATAATTTATGTGCCGTTATTTTTTCACCACTAAAATCTTTACCACCTTTGACAACTGCTACGTCACATTTTTCTTTCTTTGAAAGAAAGAAACCATTTGTATTAGGAATTAAAAAAATTCCAGCCAAAATACACAAGGTTATTACGAACTTGAGCATTGTATTAATATAGTACTTATATAGAAACAGCTAAATATCGAATGTATGTATCATACATCGATGTAGTTGTATATATAGACTTTTCTCTTTTCTTTTCTCCATCTATAGAACTATTATTAGGATGCAGAAAAAGACATATGGCATTCTTGGAGAATAACAAATAGCTCGGAATCCATTAAGAAAAGTTCGGATAAATGCATAGCAAAGATAATGACTGATAACACCATATGCCGTGTAGAAATAATTGTGGGAACAGAAAATAGATATATCACTTTAGGGCAGAAACGATGAAAAAGAGAAAGAAAATAAAAATTAACACATTGCTCGGGTTATATTCTTCTATCACAAAACAAAACTGTGGTTTTTACAATACAAATTGAGAGAAATCTCGATTTTCGTAATGTAAAACAAACAAAAAACATAGAAACCAATCAGTCAATAGATCTAATTTTGGCCACTAGTGTATAACTGTATTCGATAGATATTTCAATACTTGTTAATTAATATAGTAAATATGATATAAAGCACTATAGTCAACTTATTATATATTTAGATTGCTAACTGAAATAATATACTTTTACAAAGACATAATATATTAATTTATTAAAATTCTTAATTATATTTGATACAATATTGTAAATGACAGAGTCTCCCAAAATTCATGGCCATTTAATAAATGCATAAAATCCCACTACTAAAGAAGCTTAATCAAAAATCTTTTTTTGTTATTTGAAAGAGAAGACTAGTGAATTTTTATTTCGTTAAAGACTGAGTTTCTCAACACTGTAGAAGAGGTAAGCAATTTTATCTACAATATGATAATTAAGCTTTTTTTCGATGCCAAAAACAATATGCCTTGTTGCTTTCAAAATTTACTTGAATTTCTATCGTTATTATGATTGTGAGATCATTCAAATCTTTTGTTAATGCCTTTCTTCAAAGCAAGCCTTTCGGAGACCCTTAGAAACTTTAATTAACTATGAAAACGAGTGTATTTGGCCATTTTATAGCTAATGTCTCATCAAAACCGATGGACTTTATTATTGTAGCCAAACGTGCTAATTTTTTCTACGGTATTGATGAATTCTGTCTCTAAGAATAAAGATTTACCAGTCTCATCTTTCAAATTAAAAAAACAAGAATTTTTGATTAAACTTGCTCGGTGTTAAGTAATCATGACATTTGAGATACGACGTATATTTGATTGATTAATATGATGTCTTCCTATAATATAATACTGATCATTTTGATTGTTATCTATAATAGTATTATTTATTCTACTGTAGAATGTTAATGTTTAGGTTCTCCGAAAAGACTTAGAAAAAGTTTAATATTTATGTTAAAAACTTCACATTGATGTGATTGATTTTTACATGAAAATATTCAGAAACTATAAAAAAAGATGGATAAAATGATAATAGGTCTATAATATGACCGTATTTTCAAAAATTGTTAATTATAAATTCATGTTCAATGTGAATATCTTTTTGACAAAAACTCTACGTAACTATTGACTGATCCTCGAATGATTCTTTGATATATTATTTTTGTAATACGTTAAAACATATTTTATTACATCGACAATTTTGTTTAGATTAAAAATAATCTGATTTTTCCGATTTAAGTAATTTGTTTATTCTACAAGAATCTAAAGAATGCATTTCAGTTGGAATAAAATCATTTTCAAAAGTATAACGTTATAATAAAAATGTGTCTTATTGGAATGTTTAAAAGTATATCATTGATAATTTATTCTGAATCACTTCTTTTTTTGTTTTGTTTTTGTGAGATAATTTAGTTTTGACCAGAAATAATCGTGTGTTCATTATTGTTTACGAAAACTTCAAAGGTAACTTAAAATTTTTATTTCTCCTAAAATGTAATCGTTCTTCTTTAGTTCAACCTTGACTTTATAAAGGTTAGCAATAGGTCATATTGTTACTTCTTTATATTCTGGTTTGGCTGTTACAATGACCAATCAAATAAACCAACATTGTATAAACGATGAGAAAAATTTAGCTTTATTCTTAAAATTAACATGTAAATTTCGAAAAATAACACGCATAATAGAATACTGTTTATGAATATTATAATTATTGAAAGATTTCTTCATCAACAATTAAAGATTATCTGGAAATACAACAAAAACAATTATCGAGATATTGTTATTGAAAAATCTAACCTAATATTGGAAGAGAATTTCTAATGAAGAAAAACCAAAAGGACATAATATTTTTGCATAGATTACCAAATATATTTGATTAATATTTTCCATACAACAATAATAGTAAATTATAAAAATCGAATTTATTAGAATAGATGACTTTCAAAGATAGAATCTAATGAGCTAAGTTCCAAACTAATCAATTGCTTTTTAATTTCGGACGATGTACATCATGTCGACTCTAATGGATTACGAATACCCTGAAACGAGTTTGGATCCACCACATACCGTGTTAATGAGAATAATTAATTGTGAAAGTATTAACCTATTTAATCTATTTTTGTCCTAAAATAAAAATATCGTATTTACGGATATATATATATATATACGTATGTGTCATTATTCTCATCAAAGTTTGTTTCGATGCAAAGTTTCTAGTCGAAATTCGAAAATCAGTATTTCTACAAAGGTCACGGCATTGTATTGAAAAATATCATAAAAATGCAATATATTCATAGCAATAAGCTATGGATCTGATCTCTTTTGAGGGTATTCATAATCCATTAGAATCTGCATAATGCACATGCTTCTAGCTCAAAAGCGATTAATCAGTTGGAAGATTTCTTTCATAAGATCGATTTATTTAACAGAACTTTTTATCTTTTGTTTATTATTCTTGAATTTCAAGGTATTCAAGTTCATAAATAACTTCCTAAAATAATTCAATCATCAATATTACTTCCGTAGAAAGTCTAACAATATGTAATTATAATTGATATAAATTTTATATTTCTGTAATTTGCTGACATAATCGATTGAGAGTAATTTTGAGTTGTTGAGAAATAAATGAAATGTATACAATATTTTTGTACCATATGTATTTTTATGTTAAAATAATGAATCATTAAAAATGAAATAATATGATAACATTTGTTGAAACATAGTTTAATTACTAATGTTAGACAAAAACAAAAGAAAACATGTATAGGTGTTTGAATACAGTATTTATACTCTTTACTTTGTACGAAATGTTCTTTCTTGTTCAGTGAAATAGTGTTATAGTGTATATATCAATTACTAAAAGGTATAACATAAACAAAAAAACACTTGTTCTTTTGATTGATTTTTGTATTTTTTGTGCTGTTTCACAGTTCCTATCTCAATATTCTAGCTGATATGAAATATTGAAGAAAAATCATACTGTTATGACATATAGTTTCTTTATCGACGTAATTTCATCTGTTATACGTTTCTAGCAAAATAATAATTGCTAGTTTTATTAGCTAGTCATATCGATTATAATGCTTTAATTTTTATTCATTTTCAATAAATGTTAAAAAGAAAAAACTGACTATTCCGTTTGTCAGATTAACAATTTACTCACATTTGTTGATTCTATATTTTTTTCATCATTGATAGTATTGTTATTGAAGATCATCTTCAAAAGTAAAATTACTCTGAATACATATAAAAATTATAAAGACAACTAATAAAAACAATTACATTATGTAGACATTATTATTGTCTTGTTTATTCATCAATATAACGTTTATTAAATAAAATATAGTTTATAATATCCATCAAAAAAAGAATTTTATTTACATTGTTCATTTAAAGAAAAACAGTTGAATAAAGTTTTTCTTATGCAGAACAAAAAACAAATGATTATATTTGAAAGTTCGATTCGTTATGAAGACGTTTGATTATATTTTGGACGTCGTATATCAGTTTATGATTATTTGATGGTTTATTTTCGTATTTTATCAATGCTCGATCAGCATATTCCAATGCTAAGTCATACTGACCTTTTTATTCATATAAAAGACTTAATTGATAACATGACTGACCTATATAATGATGATGAGGTGGTAATGTTATCTCACGCATTTTCAATGCTTTTTTATAGAAATCAATTGATTCATCCATATGTCCTAATAAATTATGTACTAAACCTGTATTATATAATAGAAAAGCTTTGTCTGGATGAACCTCTGGTACAGTATGATTGAAAACAATTAATGATTTTGATAAATATGTCAATGCTAAAGTGTATTGTTTTTGATTTGCATAAGCAAATCCTAAACGATTAAATGTCCGAGCAATTTCAATATGATTCTCAGGTAAGATTTTTTGATAAATATCTCTCGATTGTTGATAATAGAATAATTCTTGTTGATAGTCTTGTAATTCATAGTAAACACTAGCAATACCAGCTAGAGTTCGAGCTAAATCAAAATATGATTCAGGTAATCTTGCACGTTGTAGAAGTTCGGCACGACGTAAAAATTCCAATGCTTTTTCATATTGATCAGTAAAACGATAAATACGTGCTGCACTATAATATACATTTGCTAAATCTTCATGATTATCAGACATTTGTGATAAAATATGTTGACAATAATTGGCTGCTTGTTCATATTCTCCCATATCGGTTAGTAAAATGCCAAAAAGTAAAGTTGATTTTGTTTCTGTCAATCGTTGACGAATGTAATGTTCATATTCTCGACTCTGTTGAGTAACTTCCATCGATGGTTGCATTTCTATGTGCCATAAATAATGTTCACAATCATAATTAATTGAAGTTATTTCAAATGTTGTACCTATATCAAATAAAACTTCGTTTTCATCCGGAAAATTACTTTGAATACTTATATCAGCCATATTAATATCTGGTGAATGATCCCAATCAATATTGATTATGAAAAGAACAAATTGTTGTTGATCGTCTCGACTTTGGCTTGGTGACTTTCCTGTTATAATATCTAATCCTATAAATAGTTGAGCAACAAGTAAATCACGAGATGTTGATAAAAAACCATTAGCTGAAACAATAGTACCAACTTTATAATTTTCTATTTCGTCTTTGCTCATGTAGCAGCCACGATAGACTTGTTTTATGTTACGTTTATCATGAGCTGATTCAATAATTGTACATAGATCACTAATAAAATATCGAAATTTATACAGATTTCCTACATCTTCAGTACGAAGAGCTTTATTAAGTGAGCGAAATAAAAAGCATGATTTTGTATACCATCGAACAGCATCAGTTGCATTATAGTCACGCTCAAATTCATCGATTTTAGCCAGTTGACTTTTATTTCCATTGTAATATAAACGACATTGATCAATTAATTCTTGTCGAGCTTCGAGTGTATGAGGCATTGTTTTCACCATAACTATAGAAAAAAAAATGTTCAGTTTAATTTTAAATTAGTCTCTTGTACTCACTTTTAAAAACTTGACGCCACATGAAAACAGCCAATTCATGTCGCACATCTCTCAGAGTTCTCTCTTGTCGATTAAATGTACTAAAGACATTTCCAACATCTTGAGCAACTTGATGTTCGACATCGACAATTACTTGTTGTAATTTAACAAGTATTGAACTTTGATCAGTAAATATACCAACAAGTTTTTCATAATCTTGTTCAATTATAATATTTTTGTTTTTTTCATAATCAGTCATAATCAATAGAATGGCCTGAACTTGTTCACTATTTTGTGTCTGATTGAGAACTTCAATATCATCCAATATAACAATAACATGATCATTTCTCGTTTGTTTTGAAGTTAAATATTCGAGATACAAAGATTTCTGAGTGTAAAATAAAATATAATCATTAAGAGTACGAAGATGAGTAAATGATAAATCAGAAATATCTGTTTCTGTTAACATCGAATTAAACCATACAATACTAAAACCTTCTTGATTTGAAACAAGATAATCAACAGGAATATCACGAACAAGACAAGCATTTTTTGACCTTCCATTTGAATCCTATTTAATGTCAAACAATTATGAAATTTTACAAGGAAAAACTTTTCATACGAAAAATATTCAATTTTTTCATATCTTCAAAAAAACAATTATCATTTTGTGCAATCACAACTATGATCCATTTCAAAATGTAATGTGTTACACTATTTTCGAATAAATTTTAATAGAAAAATCATTGAAACCTGCGTTTTTTTCACTACCCGAGAGAGAAGATCAAATGCCATCTAGCTGCATCAAAACTTGATTGAGCTATTATTGACTACTTGGGTAAGTTCTTAGTGGAGATTCTCAAAAACAATATTCTAAAAGTATTTTCCTTTTGATTTAGAGATCTATTGCCCATGTCAACAAAAACAAAAGGTGAGCATGGATTTTTCGAATAACTTTTGATAGAAGTAAGATAGAGAGCTATGATTTTCACTGTTGGAAAGAGGAGATGAAGACGCATTGAATCGTATATTATAGGTTTTTCTAAGATATTTTCTAAAAATAAGTGCCAGAAACTTGGTTTCTCATAAAATAAGAAAAATCCAAAGAAGCGATTTTCTTCATAGAAATTAATGGAAAAATCGGCTCAAAATTTCGACTAGAATACCTATAACTCCTGAACGAGTAAATCTAGAAGTCTGGACCTTGCGCACTCTCATGGATCTTCCATTAGCCGTTCGAATGCACACCTGGTTATCGAAAAGTCACTTTACTCATCTTACGGAGTATGTTGATTTTCAAAAAAGTCAGCCTAAGTCCTTGAAAAAAACCAGGTCAAATTATTCTATAATATACAGTTCGATGTGTCACTATCTCCTCTTTCCAACGATGAAAATCGAAGTACTCAATCTTGTTTTAATCAAAAGTTATTCGAAAAATAACTATCCACCTTTTTTTTTTTTGAAATGGGCAATATTAGGTATTTCGATAGAAAAATTCTTCTCTTTCGATCTAAGCAAGGTCGATACGTCTAGCTTGTTTCGTTCGAGATTTAGAAGATTTTTCTTGAGACTTACGATTTCAGCTAATTAACGTGTGATTACTTCAAAAAAGCTAGACACAAGTGATTCATCATGCTGTGTCACCTTTTGACATTTGTTCTTTAATTCTAAATGATTTTGATACTGTTATGCCAATATTTCAGAAATATCGGTTCCTTCGTTGTATCGAGGCTGACTATGCAATTCTACAAATATTTAGATAAAAATGTCAGATCATTTTGAACCTAAAAACAAATACCATCGTTAGACTTACAAGGGAATATTCCCAGGTGAAGGATCGCTTTTCAGCCGGAGTTTCGCGCATCTTGTTGCCCATCGTGAGCTATGTCTATGGTAAAAAAAATTCGGGTTTCTGGCTTGTTTCTGAGGAGATATTGAGCTTCTAGTGAATTTTCTCTATAGTACGCCCACATTAGCAGCAAAGCTATACTTTCGAATTTTGATCTGAAACTTTGCCTGCATAAAGGCCTCAGCTAGACTAGTTTGCATAAAAATTTTTAAAAGTGTTGGACAAAGTCTGTTCAAGATACGAAGCTTTGAAAAAATTGCATACTATATATTATTTATGAAAAAGGGACTTTACCTTGATAGTTTCATATCTTAGAGAGACTTTATTCAAAACTTCTGAAATTTTTTATACAAACTAGTCTAGCTGAGACCTTTATGCAGGCAAAGTTTCAGATCAAAATTCGAAAGTATAGCTTTGCTGCCAATGCGGGCGTACTATAGAGAAAATTCACTAGAAGTTCGATATCTTCTCAAAAACAAGCCAGAAATCCGAAATATTTTTACCATAGATATAGCTCACTATGGACTACAAGATGCGCGAAACTCCGGCTGAAAAGCGATCCTTCATCTGGGAATGTTTCCTTGTTAGCATGAAGAATTACCGCTGTCTAGCTACTTTTCTGGGTGATCACAGATAAGCTGGCTAAATAAGAATTTTTTCAAGTGAGTAGTTCAATTAAAAGCTTAAATCGAAAGATAAATAGCTCCAGAATATAATTTTCGAAAGTCTTCGCCAATAACTCAGCTGATTAGTTAATTGCTGACTAAATAAGTCTCAAAATACTTTGATGGTCTCGGGTCTTGTCTCTTGAATGGTAAAAAGCTCATGTCTCGATGATGTTTCTATCAGAATTTATTCGAAAAAGAAGGGAGAACATTATATTTTGAAATGGATAGGATCAGAAAAAAAGAATTTTATTATCTTCTCATATAATCAATTGAACTCGTCAATAATCCATTTGTCTTACTATAATTTGTTGTAGTTCTTTCATATTAAAAGTAGTTTGTTACCGCTTCATTATGACATCAAATGTTTTTTTTGGTAAGTATAAATGAGAATAACAGAGTAATAAATCATTAATGCAGACTCAACTATTACGCAGTCAATCAGTTATCATTCTAGATAATAGGAATCGGTCGCATTTACTTCCTTTCATACTCTCCTGAGTATATTTACATCATTAGACACGTGTTTCATACATGTGAGTGGTTATCCGCACAGAATTTACTAATAATAGTTAAAATGAGTAATATTGGAATCAATATTGCTGAAAACTGAAATTCAAATGATATGACTCATAATTGTGAAAAATTTGCGCAGCAGTTACATGTATTTACGAAAAAAAAATCGTAATTTCGCGCAAATGCGATTTTTTTCATCGAAACCATGTGTAACTGCGTCGCAGTTTTTTTCATATACAATTGAAATGTGACACAATTACGGTGTAGATTAGGGGTGGTGCATTAGAATTAGTATTGGCATTTATTAATACTAATGCGTTAAGCATTAGTATTAAAATTACCCCTAATGCTTTAGCAT